TTTTTTGCTGCTGAAACCCCTTCCAGTGTGTTCCTCTTTATTCATTTTCAGGGTGCAAACTTAAACTTGGATAGGTTGAATTAACCCACCCTACCTCTGGCAGGTATACTCAACATGCTATATAAAGTACAACATTGAATTTATTATTTCTTTCTCAAGAGAGTTTCCTTCAGTCCATTAAGACCCAGTTCTCCTTACATGAGCTTTGGGGGAGATGTGGGGCAGCACCAGTAGGTCTAAATCAGGGTGGAGGAGTTTGATCCTTACCGGCTTCATGAGATTGATTTCTGACCACTTTGCTATGAATGGCACAACTCACATAGTAGTGCAGTTTCACATACAGCTTGGGAAACACATAACCGTTGAAGATACTCTTTTGGGAAATGTCCCTGACAGCGGCGGACTCCACTGTGTTCCAAGTGACGAACTTCTTAATGGCCTTATCCTTGGGTATGCACGGGGCGCAGTTCTTGCAGTAAATAGGCTGCACATGTCCGTGGCCCTTTTTGGCATGACCATTGTTCTTTCCTTTCTTTGTCATCTTGTAAGGAGGACCTGAAAGAGCTCTTGATCCTTTTAATTCCTCTTCCCCTCTCCTTCCTGTTCATTCCCATCCCCACATCTCTTTCCATCTTCACAAAGTCTGTTTCCCGCCATCTTTTATTTTGCTCTTTAAATTATACTTTAGGTTTCTTGTATAAGAGAAAATGTGATATTTAACCTTTGTGTCTGATTTATTTCACTTAGCAATTTCCTACAAGTTACTCAAATTTATCCTTCTTTATGGTTGAGTAGTACTTCTGTATATCTATGTCTATATTTATATGTCACATTTTCTTTATCCAGTTGATGGGTAAGTTGTGCTGTTATAAACATGGATATGAATATATATTATAATATGATTTTTTTGTCTTATCTGGAAAGATACCCAGAAGTGGTATAGCTGGGTCAAATAGAATTTCCATTTTTAGTTTTTTGAAGAATCTCTGTACTGATTTCTGTGTAAATTTACTTTATCAATATGTTAAATGAAGTAAAAAATAGAATGGAATGGAATGGAATAGAATAGAAATTTGTAACTGTAACACATCCCAAGGTCAAGGAATTACTCTTATGACTGACAGGTTTAGGAAATCAATTGAATAATTATTAGATGACAGGTAGAAGGGAGTGCAGGGAGTCAGAGATACAAAAACTGCTCGTGGGACTGGGGTTATAGCTCAGGGGCACAAGCTCCTGCCTGGTAAGCTCAAGGTCCTGAGTTCAATTCCCAGCACCAGAACAAAACAAAACAGAAAACCAAGGCATTTACAGTCTAGTGGGCCTCAGACAGATCACACATAAGGTAGCAGAGTAGCCATAATTGCTACGATGGAGGCAAGGGGCATGTGAAGATGTAGCTTGGCCTGGTCTCTTTTGTTTGAGTAATAAAGAGATGGTTAGAGGAGTTAATGCTTGAGGCAAGACCTGTAGGGCGAGTGCATTTGCTAGGGAATGTGAAGTTAGGAATGACTCATTTTATGATCACATAGTCTTCTTTTATTGTTACCTCCTGTGTTCTGGTAGCCTTTAGTTTGTAGCTCTCTTTAAGGCCTTTCAAGGATGTGTCCTCACTGTAAAACCAAATAAACCAATCTCTAGTCATGTTGTATGGTCTTGTTCCTATTCCTCTGTGTGCTCTGCTATTTGAAAAGTCCTCTCCCTGATGAATTTCTTACTATGTCCACTAGGTGAATAGTACTAGTGAACATAGTTTAGAGGTGGGTTTTTTTTTTTTTTTGTTTTTTTTTAGTTTAGAGGTTTTGCAGGAAGAGATTTTTTAAGCTGTGAAAATAGTAATACTTAAGAAGAAATGTCTGTTGTTCTGTCTTCTTAGTAAATGCTGATATATTCCTCAGGAGTAGCTCTCTAGCTTCCTGGACATGTGTATATGTGTGGCTGGAGATTGAATCCAGGGCTGTTCTACTACTGAGATATACCCCTAGCCCTTTGTTTACTTTTATTTGGAGTTAGGGTTTTGGCTAAATTACTCATGCTGGGCTTGAAATTGCAGCCATTCTTCCTCAGTCTGCCAAGTACTTGAGGGGTTGGGGATGCCACCTCCCCCAGCTTCACCAGACTTTGTTTAAAAAAAAATATATATATACACATATATATGTATATATATATATATATATATAATAACAAAAATATGTCTTTACAAAATAAAAAATAACCTCCCACGATGTAATAAATTAGAAGTCACTAAAATTTGAGCTCTTTAGGTGATTTCAGTTCAGTTTTTGATTTTGAAATCTGGACACAATAAAAAAGTTGTCAACAGAGTTTCTGTTTTTCTTTTCTTTCTTTTTTTTTTTGGTGGAAGTGGGGATTGAACTCAGGCCCTTGCACTTGCCAGGCAAGTGCTTATTCTACTGAGCCATCTCCCATTTTTTTTTTTTTCTTGCTTCAACTGCTGGTCACTCTGTGTACAGATGACAGTGGAGGTACTCTTGCATGACCTGTATGTAGCCTTGAGATGATCAAAAAGTTTATTCCGGGATGGAAACTCACTATGGCAGGTTGTATAGGTGATAACATCGATCTGTATTTGTGGTTCAGCAGATTGACAAATCTTTGGCTTGCTTGCTTGCTCACGCTCTCTTTATTTTTCTTTCTTTCTTTCTTTTTTTGTATTTTAGGGAAGGAGCTACAGAGTGTTCAGGGTCTCACTACTAGATCAGACTCATAGTGATCCGCCTGTTTATAGTCTCCCAAGAGCTGGGATTACAGGCATGTGCCACCACGCCCAGTCTCAGTTGCCATCTCAGCGAGGCTCCGGGGGCAGGGCCTTCACAGTAGGCCTGGGGATGAACCCCCTGCCCCTGTGCCTGCTTGCAGGCACTTTAATCTGCTGAGCTATTTTTCTTTTTTTTTCCCCTCGGAACTAGGGATTGAACTCAGGCCCCTGCGCTTGCCAGGCAAGCTCTTATCCCACTGAGCCATCTCCCTGCCCCCCAAACAACTGAGCTAATGGGCAGGCCCACTCTGCTGAGCTATTTGGCCAACCCTTGGTTTTCTTTCCTTTGGGTTTAGGAATACTTGTAGTTTCACTTTTTTAAAAAAATGTATTTAGTACAGGGTCTACAGAGTCTCACTAGGTAGATCAGACTCAGTGATTCTCCTGTTTTCAGCCTCCGAAGTGCTGGGATTACAGGTGGGCACCATCACACCCAGTCTAAATCACTCTCAGCACGCCCTGGGGGTGGGGTGGGCAGGGAACTCTGGGGACCCCAGCCACTGTGCTCTGCCTAAGCAGGCACGTTAGTCTGCTGAGCTTCTGGGCAGCCCTAGTTTCACCTTTTTTTTTTTTTTTTTTTTCTCCTAGTTTCACTTTTTGGATCATCATGTGGTTGGATGGTCTCCATGACACTAACATTTTCTAGAAGATTACCTTCTGATTCTTTGGCATTATCTTGATTTAAGTTAGTGTCTTTTGGATCAACCTTTTCTCCTCCAGTGGACCTCATTGAAACCGTCATCATAATTCTATGCTAGCTTCTGTTTCATTTTCTTATATTTTTTAGACAGTTTTTGTTTTGATACAGCTTCCATGTCTTCCTCAGAATTGGCATTCACCAGACTTTTTGTATTCTTTCAGAGTAGTCTTGCTTTTTTGCTGATAACCTTCAAATCTATAGCTTCATAATTCTTTCATAAGTGCTAGACTTGTGGATGTTACTGGCCACCATCTACTACCTACAATACACTCATTCCAATAGTCCTCAAATTCAGTATATTCAAGACGGAATTCCTTGTATACATTTTTTACTTCCCTCTCTGCACAAGGCCCACTCACAAAAAGTTAAAATTATCTCTTCCTGTGTTTTTGTCCTAACTTTAAGGAATTATCATCCATCATTATCATTCAAGTTGTTACTCTATGTCTTGTCTTCTCCCTTATCTCTCATATAGTCAACAATAACTCCTTCTAAGTATTTCTGGAATTAAGCTTTCTATTCCTCCTACTATTACCACCTTAGTTCATCAGGCCATTCTCCTGGACAAGTGGTAGCCTTCTAATTGATCTCTCTCTCTCTCTCTCTCTCTCTCTCTCTCTCTCCCCCCCTCTCTCCCTCCCTCTCCCCCCCCCCCCTGTCTTTCTGAGATAAGATCTCACTATATAGTTCAGGCTAGCCTTGAGCTCACTTTGGCTAGTCTTAACTTGAGGTGATCCTCCTGCCTCAGTCTCCTGAGTGCTGCAATTAAATGTGTGTGCCACCACACCTGGCTTGTATCTCTCTTATCTTGTAAAGCTGTCTTCTATCCAGTAGCCAGAATATTTACCCAATATACTTGTGTCTATATTGTCCATGTCACTCTCTATTTCAGTCCCTTCATTGGTTCTTATCATGGCACATTTGTCCTTCTGTGACCTGCTCTCCCATCACAGATAATACCAAGCAGTATGTAGTTTCTGTAGGTATCTTGGCATTTCATACCTTTGCTCAAACTGTTAGTCTTTTTTTTCCCCTCCTTTTAAGTTAGGTATATCATTTTCCTGAAGAAACATTTCACAAGAAACCTTTTTTCTAATAAACAATAAAGCACTCCTACATTGTTCCCAAGGAACTGGATACATGCCTCTGATTTTAGGAAAATTGTTTTAGTTGGACTCTTTTACTTTACTGTTTCATGTGAGCAGGGGCTGTGTCTTGGTCATCGTGGTTGTCTTCTTGTTCCTAGCTCTTGGTGTGTGCTTGCAAGTAGTGAGTGAGGTTCACTAGTGCCTAGTGAGGACACATGACAGAATTAGTAGTATGATGTTCTAATGAGTAAGATAGAATTTTTTTCAAGATATGAGTTCTTATTTAGAAAGGAATTTAGATTTTAACTGGATTAATAAGGATTTTGATGGTGATATATGGCACAAAGTTCAAAAGTAGAAGAATGCCAGGACCTAGGTATGGTGATGCATACCCATAATTCCAGTACTCTGGAGGTTGAGAAAGGAGATGACTGTGAGTTCGGGGTCATCTTGAGGTATATAAACAAATTCAATACTAACCTGCGCTACATAATGAGACCTTGTCTCAAAAAAAAAAAAAAAAAAAAAAAAAAGTACCAGAAGAGGAGCATGTACATGCCTATAATTCTAGCTATCTGGGAGGCTAAAGTAATAGGATTACAAGTTTGAGGCTAGCCTAGACAGCTTAGTGAGACCCTATTGCAAAATTTAAAAAAATGAGAAGAGCTGAGAATATACTTTTGTGTTCCTTTGATTTAATCTCCAGTCTACAAAAGATAAAAAAAGTAGAACACTGAAGAGTAAGAGATAATGAATGTAGATATTTTGAAAAAAAAATTTAGTTCCTCAAGTAAGTATGCATATCTTTAGTGTTGAAAACAGTTGTGCAGGGGGCTGGTGAGATGGCTCAGTGGTCTGAAGCACCTACTTAGAACAAGCTAAGCTAAGCAAAGCACAGGGACCGCAGTTCAATCCCCCAGCACCACATGCCAGCCAGCCGCGCCCCCCTGGTGGGCTGAGCTGGCCACACAAAC